ATCAATATGTACACTTATAATGCACCAATAAAAATAAGAAAATAAAAATGTCTTTAAAATCCTAAGCTATGGTGTTGAGAAAACAGCACAGGCATTAGCTCAGGGAGGAAAAAGAGTGGCGGCAGCATTGGAGCAGGTCATGAGGGACTTCTGGTGTTTCTGCTAAGATCCTGGTTTTTTTTTTTTTTACTTTCTTGATGAAATGTTTACTTTGTGATAATTTATTAAACAATACATATTGTATGCTTTTCTGAAATTTTATTGCACATCAAATATGTTTTAAACAATAATAATAAACATAAAAAAGTGGGGGGAAAATAATCTTTTTGAAAGTTCTTTAAACCCATTGACAGAATTGGAACATGCCTGGAGGTCTGTAAAATCTGAGTTAGTGAACTTTGCTTTTTTCCTAAGTATCATCTTTCCCTCATGACTGTGTTTTAACTGTAAGGAAAGGTGAGGAAGTAAATGTCCAACTTAGATTTCCTAAATTTCTCTCACAAGAAAAAACAAAACACTTCAATAGAAAAAAATATAAAGGAATAAACCACTTGAATCTGAACTATCTTCAAGATAATATTTAATATGAAAAGCTAGGAGATCAGGAGGATAGGCCTGTCCTGGGCCCAGAGATACATGGTGAGCCACCCTGTGCTGGGGTTCCTTATTCACCAAAGCGTGGCTCCACGGCCCAGTATCAGGGTACATATAGGCTTGAGGCTGCCACCCCACAAAACTGGGATATCACTGCTTATATCAAGGGACAACAATATGGACCTGGTAAGATATCATCCATGGTCCATGTGCACCAAAGGATCTCTACTCGGAGTGCTAACAGTTATCCTGTTCCTGAGGTAACAGGGAGTCTTGTATGGGGTTGCCTATCTCTTGTTTCTCCTACTTACAGCCAACTTCTTAGGATTACCCTCTCACTAGTCATATAATCTAATACCTCCATATTCTCACATCCTACCTCATAAACATCTCAGGAAACCCCCAGGCCCCCTTCTACCATTAGAAACTGTAAACCATTATGCAAATCTATTGACTATAAGATAGAAGATAACCAAGCTCACTCTTTTTGATTATAGTGACAAAACTGTAAATGTAAAAACAGAAGCTAACTGATATACGGCTGCACATTGGGGGCACTCAGTGCCATAATGTTGATCTCTCCCTGAAAAGTGAGGTATTGGTAAGCTGTAGGGACACTATAAGACAATAGGGCAGAACTGTCATACCTCGGATCTACACTACAGGAGGGGAAGACTCTTAGGCATGAAAAAACAAAGGAGGAAAGTGCCCCAAACAAACCAAAATACTACAACAATAGAATCCATAGATAGCGAAGCAGAGAAGGAGTTCAGAATATACATAACTAAGATGAATTAAAGAATGACCTAAGTGAGCAGATACATGCAAAAATAGATCATTCCAACAAAGAGATAAAGGAGCAAATACAAGTTGTAAGAGATTACTTCAAGAAAGAGATACTGAAAAAAAAATAGAAATCCTCAAAAGAAACAATAAGCCAATTAAAAAACTCAATAGATACCATCACCAACACACTAGATCACTTGGAAATTAGGACCTCAGACAATGAAGACAAATATACAATCTTGAAAATAAAGTTGACCTCACAGTGAGAATAGTAAGAAACCATGAGCAGAATATTCAAGAATTATAGGATACCATCAAAAGACCAAATTTAGGTAAGCGTAAGGTTGAGAGTAACTAACCAATGTTGTGAAGCACCTTTCCTTCTGTAAACTTGGAGAGGTAGGAAGTAAAATAAGAGAGAGCCACTATGAAAAACTTGTAGAAGAAGGTTGACCTAACTGAAGTTACTCCCATCAAAACCAACTCACAGTCTAATAGTCTTAGAGGGAGGAATAAAACACCTCACTCTACTCTTGTATATTCTAAATTCATCTCTTTGGTGTCCCTTTCTGATGGAACTCAACAAGAAACCACATAACAATGGGACTTATCATGCAGCCTACAGTATATGTCTCACCAAAAGGTGAAAGATGGAGAAAGGAACCAATATGGCAGCCATTGGTTACATGAGGCCACTGAGTATTTGAAATGTATCTAGTCTGAATTGAGGTGTGCTTTATGTTAAATAGACATTAGATTCCAAAGAATTACTAGGACAAAGAAAATGAACATGAAATATCTAATAACAATTATTTTCTTTGCAAATTATGTTGGTAATCATTGGGTTAAATGAAAATATATTAAAATTTTAAAAAAAGAAGTAAAGGAGAACAAGGTAACATATTCTATATCTTGATGGTAGTACTATGTATCCATAAAATGTTGTCATTTTTTATATTTGTGTTATCAAAATTCATATATCTATAAAACTAAATGGTGTAAATTGTACCATGTAAATTATACTTCAACAAACATGACTTTAAAAATAAATCTAGTTCATGAAGTGTTTTAACAGTATTGGGCACATACTAACCACCTGATAAATAATGGCTACTATTATGATTCATTAAAACAACCAGCATCAAGCTGTTTCATAGTAGGGTAGGGAAGGAGAGCATGGGAGGAATAGACAAACTCTAGATAGGGCAAAGGAGTGGGAGGGAAAAGGAGGGGGCATGGGGTTAGAAATGATGGTGGAATGTGATAGACATGATTATCCAAAGTACAGGTATGAAGACCCGAATGGTGTGAACATACTTTGTATACAACAAGAGATATGAAAAATTGTGCTCTTTATATGTAATATGAATTGTAATGCATTCCATTGTCATATATAACAAATCAGAATTTTAAAAAAAGATTAAAAACTAATGGATTGAGTCTTCTACCCCTTAACAAAAATGGAATAAAAAGAGATTGAATTTTCCCTCCCACATGAAATGATCAAAAGTTAAATAAGCAAATAAATACATAAACATGAAAAATTACTTAAAAATAATTTTCAAGACACTGGACATCAAACAATGAAGAGATCCTGAGAGAAAGGAATTAGGTGCAGCCAGCCCTGTGCTTGCCTCAGTTGACTGGCTGGAGAGTTTTCATTCTGCAGTGCCAGGGAAAGGGGAGCCCTGGGGAGTCTGGTGGACGTGTGTGTTGAGGAGATGGAGCCTCGAGTCCAAGAGACTAAGGTGGTTTGAGTTCATAGAACCAAAGTATCAGAGATAAGAGCACAGCACAGAGAGTTCTGGAGATAAGTGGAGGGCCCCCCCTCCTCCAGTATTCAGCAGAGTCCTGTTCAGTGCATCCACATGAGGAAATTATCTGAAACCAAGAAAGAATTCCCTGAAAGGGTAAGAAGGAACATTACTTGGTGCTCACACCAGGCTTGGACTTATGCATCTTTCTTCCAGCCAAAGTAGAAAACCTCTTCATTGACAAGACTCTGGAGAGAGGACCAAGAAAAGTCTTCCCTTAACAGTAAGAAACAAGTAACCCTAAATTCAATAGTTTTCTGGTCCAGCCTAACAAATCTTAAAAGCAAGACTTGAAAGATTGAACTGTTTCCAAGTAATTAAATTACATTCCTGAGCAAAGCTTAAGAATATTTATAGTAATACAAAAATATCCAACACACAACAAGGTCCAAATGTCAATGCTTGACATCTAAAAAAAAAAAAAAGGATCAGGCATACAAAGAAAAAAAATTCTCCATTATGAGAGGTAAAAATCAATCAGAACTGATGTAAATGTTAGAATTAACAAAGAAGAAAGTTGAAATAGCTATTATAATTTAATTCCAGATGTTGAAACAATTAAATTCATGAAAAACAATTTAAAAAAAAAAAAGACTTAGGGCTGGGGTATAGCACAAAAGTACTTACTTACCTAACATGTGCAAGCTCTATCCCCAGAAACACACATACACACACAGATTCAAATCAAACATCTAGAGATGAAAACTACAATGTCTAAGATGAAAAATTACTGGGATGGGATTCAAAATATATACCTGCAATGGAATTCTACTGAGTAATGAAAGGGAATTAACTACAGATATAACATTGATGACCCTCAAAATAATTGGGCTGAGTAAAAGAATCCAGACAAAAAAGATTGCATACTTTTCATTTTATATGAAATTCTAGAAAATGCAAATAATTTAACAGAAAGCAAATCCATGGTGCCTGAAAGAGATAGGAAAAAGAATTCTAAACTTTGGGGAGTGATAGATAATTTTCACTATTTTGATTTTATGATTATTTCCCAGGTATGTATAGATACCAAAATTTAGACAATCTGTACACTACAGAGACACGCAGCTTGTTGTATATCAATTATAATTCAATAATGTGATTTTTAACAAAAAAGAGAGATGTATTTTAAACATTTGAACCTCTTGGGAAAGAGCAGTTTTGTGCATATAACCACATTATTCTAAGATATTCAAAATTTTGTAAATGTTATGGAATGGTAAAGTAAATATTTAATTTTTGTTACATCTAAGTCTATAGTGTTCATAGACCATATCTGTAATATAGTATTTATTGTATTCAGGACAGTATCTTAAATTTGATTTGGAGGGGGGTTATGCTGGGCACAGTCATACACATCTGTAATCCCAGCTACTCAGCAGTCTAGGAGACGAGGCTGGGAAGTTTGAAGACAGTCTGGTCAACTTAGCAAGATTGTCTTGAAATAAAATTTGAAAAAGAGCCGGGAGTATAGCTCAGTGGTAGAATGCTTGGTTAGCAAGTGCAAAGCCCTGGGTTTGATCTCCAATACCTTCGGGAGGGAAACTTTGCTTTGTATGTGAAGACAATATGGTATGCACTTTTCTTATCCTTAAGTGACTATACATTTACTTCCTAATGCCCTTCTTTATTTGATATGAAATCTGGACTTAAAAACTCTCTAAATGTCTGATTGAAGGCATGAGTACCTTATTTTCTTTGTCCTTCTTTGTCACAGATATAGTTGTGCAATGCACATTCATTATGTTTAGGGATGAACTGATTTATGTATACTCACATTCCACATTTGTCTGTCCTGATTTCCCCCAGTTTGATGCTGACCGAGACGAGGATGAGGTGTTCTATGACATCAGTATGGCAGTTGACAGCAAATTATTTCCCAACAAAGAAAATGCAGCAGGTAAGTTGCTACGTCCTTTGGGCAATAATACACCACAATCACCTGCCAAATGTCGTACTTTGTATTAATGGGTAAAGCCCAACAAATTGCTGTAAGCTTAAAGGACAGCCCTCGTTCTTTCTGGTTTAAAAATAAAGGGATAGACCAAAATAGAATGGAAGGGTTATAAATCTGTCCTTTGCAGTTTGTTAACGTTTTTCTTCCTGTCATTGCACATCTAAATTAGCAGGTAGTCACAACGTAATAGGAAAAAAATATCTAAACTAATCCATATACTTTGCGCAACAATTAAAAGTTATAATTCCTCCAAGACTCCCCCAGCCTAAAGGGATTTCTTCTATATTGCCTGAGTAAAGCACTTCCATCCCAATCCACAGCTCCTGTGGGCCCTGCCCCTTCCCCTCTTTAGCACTCCTACCTGGGAGTTTGCCTAAGACAAGTGGCACTCACGGTTCTGTATTCTCTATTCTGACTCTAGTCCAACTCACTGCCCACATAACTTCACCTACCAGTTCTAAGTAGATGATTCTCTCTCTTTTTTAAAAATAGCACAGAACTTTTGGGTTTTACCTTTTGAGGTCAAAACTCAGAAGAAATGTCAAGACTGAGAACAATATTATTTTTATAATAAATTTTGTATTATGTACACACTGTATTCAAATGAAATGCCCACTCTTCAAACAGCACGCTCTGGCTTTTCCATGAGCCCCCAGAAGAGTGTAAGTTGAGCCTCTGAGAAACAGTTCCTTATCCAGGAAAGAGACTGGGTGAGTGTGAATATGTGTGTGAGTGAGTGTGTGCAGAAAACCTTCTGATCCCATGGCATGTAGCTAGCTCTTCTGAAGCCACACATCCTTCCTTGCCTTCAACACTGCTGGTCCCATAGACGGGCTCAGCCTGGGGCAGCTGTAAACCAGCCACTCACCCTCCACCTTATTCTTCTGTGAAGAATCGATGAAGGCTTGCCACTCTGCTGGGTAAAAACATTTATAGACATTGATCTTCCCAATGTGTTTCAGAGTATCCTGATAGCAATTCTTCACATTCCCAGCCAAGGCCTCCCCATGGCTCTCCACCATGTATTGTATGTACTCAATGAGGTCCTAAGACAGGATATTTTCTTTCTTCTCTGGATGCTGGCTTTGCCTCCATGTCATTTTGTACATGGGTTTCTACACAAGCCCCTAGGACTCTTCTCCACGCTTGATTCCATGGCCTTCACCTTTCTCTTATGGAGAGGCACCACCTTCATAGGGATCATTGGCCAATTCATCTTGGCCAGCTTCTGTCTCATCAATTTGGTGTGGTCACAAGCATGGAGAAAAAGGGGGCACACTAGACCTGCGATGCTGCCTTCCATCTAGCATTTTGGTTCAGATGCTTCTGCTCTGAGCCCTGCCCTTGGACATCATGCTAATCACAGCAACAGCTACACACACAGTGCTATCTCACCCTTCAAATCTTGGTCTCAGTCTTGACCTTTCTCCAGAGTTATGGCCTCAAAAGGTAAAAACGTTCTGGGCTATGAAATACAAGGCAAAACACTTAAAATTTTAAACCACCATTTGAAGCGACCTAACTGTAGTTGCCAAGAATGGAAGAATTGTAAGAAGAAAGAAGTGGAGATCTTTCTGGGCAGATCAGCAGAGCACAGATAACTGATACAAACTCTCCTGCCTAATTTTCCAGTGATATTTCCTGCCTGTTGCAGGAAAGATGGAATATTGAGAACTGTGTTGCATCATGTAAATAAGACTACTAATTGCTCTGAAAAAAAAAATGCTACGATTCCTGTGCCTTTTAAGTTAATATTTTATTTAAAACATAATTTTTAAAATAAGAACAAGTATCTAGCTGCTACATATCCTTAGTATGCTAATACGGTAGTGTGGAGGAGCTGAATTTTGCTGCCCGCTCTTTACAACTTTGTAACACCTTATGGCTCACTAGTGGCATTTCTCCAAAGTAGCTTTGTCCTGCAGTCCTGCAACTGTGCTGGCTTCTGACAACAAAACATAACAAACCCTTCATTGACCTTCCTGCAGGCTGGGCACTGGTGTTCCTCACATAGCAGAAAGCCACAAATCCCTAGCTTTCCCACTGTGCAGGGCTTCACCTCCATCCCTCACCCATATCAGTTTCTTGTGGTTCCTTCAATGGCTCCAGTACCTTCCTTCTGTAGCTGTTTTGCACCTGTTTTCCCAATTGCTCAGGAAACCCATCCTCATTACATCCCTCTACTCTCCCAACTCTATAGCCTCATCCTTCACCTGGCTAGATGCTGGCCTCAGTACAAGAGTGATTTGTTCAAGGAGCCTCTCAGACACCATTCCAGACTTGTTTAAGCCCTTGCATAATGTCCTGTGCTTTTCCTGCACAATTTTTAGGCACAGGATTGTTGGTTAAGCAGCAGTTTCCTTTATTAAAGCATAAGATTTAATGAGGACACACAGAGAGAAAAACAGAGAACCAGGGAGGGTTTGATGCCCAGTGTGAATCTCCTAAGAGAGGGTACATAAGGTCTTCCTTTTCCAGTTGGCTACCTCAGCTGGGCCACCGTCTAAGTGTGGGACTCCCAGGCACACCAAGTCTTTGCTCCCAAGCTGAGTGCACACTTGCTCACCTTTTCCCATAGGCTGCCATGAGCTCCAAATTTTCAGTTTTATCTGCAGTGTCTGCTCTATGGAGTCCTCCATTAGGACTTCTGGAAGAGCCATCTGGCCACATCAATCAATCTCTCTGGCCCTACATTTTCTTATCTATAAAGAGGAAATATATGCATTTAAAAAAATAGCCAGAACTCATCTAGGTTAATTTCAATTCCTAGGTATAGTTCATATTTTGTTCGGAGTTGATGGTTGTTCTTGGAAGTGGTTGGCTTCAATAGCAACTTTTTATAAAAGGGACTGAGATTTATTTTTTTAAAGGAAATAATAGCACCTACCTCATAGGATTGTTGCCAAGAGTGAATGATTTCTATGTGTAAAACGTGGCTGCCACACTAAAAAGGCTGTATATGTGGTAGTATTTTTGCTAAGGACTTGAGGGCTCATAAGGAGAGACCACATCTCACACAAATTTCCCTCCTTTTCCTGTATTTTCTTCTACTCTCTTCTCCATTCCTCTTTTCCTCTTTCCCAACCCCTGTCCTGAAGTATTGAAATAATCCACTCCCCTCCTCTTCTCACCCAGAACCGTCCTGCAACACTCAGATCCCTCCAGGAGCTCACTTCCTGGTACCAAGTACTCAGGATATTTTTCCAAATAATATTTTTTCCTCTTCCTCAAAGGAATTCTGACACAAAAGCATTGCTAACACTTTCCATGACTGTTGAAATTAGAGCAGGATTCTTAGTGCCTGATGCAGTCGGGCATTTACAAGGAGGTACTTCATGTTTGTAGAGTAAGTGAATGAGAGCAAGATCTGCAAAGGTAAAGTATAAACATCCTTTTCTTTACTCTCATTCAGCATGTATGCATAGAATGCATTTCACTTCTAAGCTGCGTTTTTTAGATTCAGGGATGAAATGCAACCTCCTCTTACAGAGCAGCCTGCAGTTAATGGAAGTTGGAGCAAGGGAGAGCCTGCTTTCCCTGGAGGACTAAATGGAGGGGTTTTATTTACCTGCACCTGTCACTGTTCAGGAAGCACTCAAAGTGGAAGGAGAATTCCTAAAACTTTTGACTAACAATCCACCAAGAGGAAAAAAGTCTCTAAAATTGTCTCAGGAAGCAATGCATTTAGTCTCTAGTACCTCTAAAGCCAATCTGTCTCATCTTCCATTTAAATTAAAGGAGACAACCTGAAAATAATATTTCCGAAGACCATACCACATCTAAAACTAGTGACGCTAAGTCTTCCCTGTGGGGTTCTACATTTCAGCTAAGACCTTTCCATACTATCTATAGAACAGATATTTTTAAATCTGAAAAGAAATCGAGAAATTCAAAATCAGGAGAAATGAAAACCACACTATCGCTTTTTCAAAATGTCCTGATTTTGCTGTCTTTTTTGAGTAACAAGATCATTTGCAGTTGTTTTACTTGTTAGTTTGCCCATTGAAAGAATGCGAAAGTGTGTACATATGTCTGTTTACCTCCCTGTTCCACATGCCAAATGGTGGACTATTATTAAAGGTCTCATTTTGAGCATACCAAGCAACCAATGCTAAAAGAAAAAAAAAGCTTTTCAATCATTATCTGAGCTGCTGATGATATCCTCTGTCTATTGCCTCCTGATATATTAATGCTGCTGTTGCCAGGAGCAACAATGTGTCGAGAAATTTTATCCCTTAATGATATATTGAAATTTCTGTCAAAAGCACTTGATTAGGAAAGCCAATCTCTTCTTCCTATTATAAGCAGGAGTTTTTTCTTAAACGACAAAAAAAAAAATCTTTTCATTCTGCTATTGTCAAAGATAATTTCCTAATAAACTTGCTTCAGTATCAAATATTCATATGTGGTATCTGTTAACTAGGTTTTTGAAGAGCCCTTCAGGTTGTACTTTTTGAAAACAATTGAAAGAACTGTTTCCAGTTAAACAAAATAAGTAGGACACAGGTTTGAATCCACCTTCCTATCACCATGTCACTAGACAGTGGTAGATAACAGCCACATTGAGGAAGTAATGACAGCTAAACAAAATTCATATTACCTTTAATGATGCTACCAATAGCAGCAATGGAACATTGATGGTCATGGGCTTGAACAAGACTTCTTAATTCCACTTGTGACCCTGCCATTTTCACAGTCACCCCAAGATCCATCTCACTGAGAATTATCACTGATCCTCATTTTCTCAGAATGCAGAATAGATAGTATACCCCTCCAGGTCCTCTCCTGTAGAGACTTGAGTGAAAGGTAATATTTGTAAAGCTATTTGGAGGCAGTGGTGGAGTATGTTCGAAGGAATTGGAGCTAAGGGCCCTGCCTTTGATCTCACATACTTTCTGTATTGACCTTCACCAAGTTATTTAACTTCTCTGCATCTCGTTTTCTTCTCTTCTAAAATGACAGAGTGGGATTCTGCAAAATTTTGGTTCTAAAATATCTATGACATATAATGAAAAAAAAATTGCAATTTACTTCTAACATCTTTACTGCCTTTAACACATAAATGTAAGCTGACTTTCAGACTGGGCTTTGAGACAGTCAAGTATTTTGTCTCCAAGATACACTTACAAAATTCTTTATTTGAAAAATACCAAAGCACAATGATAGGAAAATTACATATAATCCCACTCATTTTAAAAAGGTACACATAAAAATTAAAGTTTCCCACTTCATGCTCTAGTCTTACCCTCTTGGTATCAAGGGGCAAAGACTTCCCAGTGCCATTCTACCAACTGCCTCATTAGCAACAGAATTGGCCAAGGCTGCTCCGATGATGTGACTGGCAACTAGTATCAGTAGAGTTGTTCTGAACACACCTGTGCCACTACACATGTCAACTCCGCATCAGGTATCTTCTCCAGAATGGCTTGATGGTTCAAGGGTCTCCATATGGGAAAACTTTATCTTGTTTTTAAAAAATTTTGAAGACAGAAACAGTGGTGTTGCTGCTTAGCACTTGGTCATTGTAATAGATGGGGGTAGAGGGGGCGCTAAAGATAAGAGAGCAAAGAGAAAAGCAGAGTAAGGACACACCTTGGCTCGCTCTCTCTCTCTTTTTTTTTTTTTTTTTGGTACCAGGGATTGAATTTAGGGACACTCAACCACCAAGCCACATCCCAAGCCCTATTTTGCATTTTACTTAAAGACAGGGTCTCGCTGGGTTGCTTAGCACCTCGAAGTTGCTGAGGCTAGCTTTGAACTCATGATTCTCATGTCTCAGTCTCACAAGCCACCGGGATTACAGGCATGCACCACCGCACCAGGAAGTCTTGGCTCCTGTTTTGGGAGAGTACAGAGGCAACATCTCTGGGACAGGTCCATGTCTGAGAAGTGTTCGAGATGCTTGATGTTTTGTGAAAAGCTATTTTCACTAAATATTACTCATACAATAGTCTAACCAGGAATTATTCAGCAAGGCCACATTTATAGTAAAACATGAGTTTGTTCGTTATTTTACAGGATACATAATATTTTAGATTATGGTAATATAAATCTTTTAGATTTTGTATCTATTTTCCTACCTGGTAAGGTGATTATATTTTGAGATGATGTATATTTTGAATTATTAAATGAGAACTATGAATAAATTGTGCTTCAGAAGCCCCTTTGTGAAAATCAGTGGTTTAAGTTTGGGAAGAAATGGATAAGTGATTTAATGTAACCTATAATACCCAGGAGAGCAATCTTTCTATTAAAAAATTAAGTTAATCTGATTTTTCTCACCTTCAGAGACTGAGGTGACCCCAAAGGCTTGAGGGAAAACATCTCAGGTTTTTCTGGAGTGGGCAGGTTCAGTCCTTTTATTTCTGGAAACCTTTTGCTCTTCTCCCACTCTGTATGTGGTGTTCCTTCTGCCTTAGTTACTCTAGCACATCTTGAAGCTATTTCTCTTGGACAAATCACATTTTGCCCTGAGTGTTCATGTTCACAGATCAGCTCCTTATGAAGAATCCCAACTCCACCACTTCCTCTACTAGTCACAGTTGACTCACTCTTCTTGGTTTCTGAATCTTGCTGTTGACAAATCATTCTCCACAGTACTGTCATATTCTTAGAGGTGGACACAGCGCCCTGAGTATCTGCATCTTCAATCTCCAGCTCAAATGCAGTTCCTGGCAGATGGGAAGCATCTAGAAATGTTTGTGAATTTAATAGAATCCTAGAACAATATGGAAACCTAAGAGGGGATTTCTTTCTTTAGAAACAGCCTCCATCAGCTAATTTTTCCTTTTCTAAATTTAGGTTCAAGTGACTTTGATCCTTCAATGATGTTGGACACTGGAGAGATCATTGATACAGGATCGGATTATGAAGATCAGGTAATATAAATCTAAAACTATTTCTCTATTTAAATGTTTCTAATATTAGACTTTGTGATTTTTTGTGAAAAATAGAATTATAAGACTTTATTTTGTGAAATCCTTATGGGTAATTAATAACATATTTCATGATAAATCATAATAGCCTACAGCTGTCTTTCACCATTTGGCTCTTTGACCCTCCCTTATCTATAGATCCAAAATAGCAGTTAATTAAGGAAAGATTTGTGGTTGGAAGTTACTTGAGACAGAAGTAAGGTTCTCTTGCCCAAGAATTTGCCTGCTTCTATCCTTCCCACTAATAAATAGGTAATATGTATGAGAATTAGCTATGGGCTCAGGGCTCTGCCAGTCTATTTCTAACCTTTCAATTGGAATAGTGACTGAGGAAAACATGGCCAAAAAATAAATATATGTTCTCTTTGAATAAGACTGAAGAACTTTATCTGGGTCATTTTCCCTCTCAACAGAACTCTCTTTCCTGCTGTATTTTAATGACCCAAAATAGTTGGCAAACGATCCAACTTCTAATTAGCTATTTTTGAAAAAGGATAATGTCTGAAACTCCCCCCAGCATCCATCAGTGCTCCTTACCAGTGGCTGAAAACTAAGTGAATATGTTCTAATGAGGGTTTTTTGTTCCCATTTTAAACTAATATGCATCGCAAATAGAGCAGAGAGATCTGACCAGTGTCCATACATAATAATCAACTGTACATTTTGTATTTTCAGAAACTATTTTTATGAACATCAAGCTTCTTCCTTATATCACGAAACAAGGAGAAAATATTGCCAAGTGTATAATATCTACCAAATATTTATGGTAGTTTTTAATATTTATCAAGTACTCGCTACATGCACAACATTATGCTGAGTTCCTTATATTATTTCATTAATTCTTCACAATATCTCTAAAGAGTAGGAATTTTTATTTCTACTTCACAGAAAAGAAAACTTAAACAAGAAGAGTAATTAGGTCAAGGTTATATACAAGTGGTTTCACAGTGGGAATGTGAACTTGAGGCACATTCCCCAACACCCACACTCTACTGCCTCCGTCCTAGCCTCCAAAGAGGTTGTTCAGTGATACATTTTTGGAGCCTTTTCAGTTGCTGACTCTTAAGGCCTCAGCAGAAGCAAATGCCAAACAACCACTCATCATGTGCACCTAAAATTATAGACTGCACAAAGAATTGACATATAACAAGACAGGCAGCAACAAATGGGAGGCTTCACACCCCCAGGAGCTAGAAATAACAGAAAAAAAAATCTGAAGGAAATCTTAATAGAGGAATATTTAGAACATTCAAAGAAATAAAGGGAAGGTTCCAAACCATGAAACAAGTCCATGAAAGAATGGAAAGGAACAGACAGGAAAAAGGAAGAAACAGACCACACAACTAACAAGTTACAGAATCAGAAATCAAACTTGGATCTGCCTGCCACCAAAAATCTATTTTCTTCTACCACTCCAGGAGAGCCATGATGAGTGTCACTGGTAATCTATTGCTAATTCTGGTCAGCACTTTTTTAGTTATCTTTCTTGACATTTACTGCATTTGACACTGTAACCCAGGAGTCACCAAACTGTTTCTTTAAAGAACCAGCTTTTCAATATTTCAGACTTTGCTCACCATATAGTCTCTGCTGTACCTACTCAAATCCCATCATTGTTGCACAAAGCAGCCATAAAAATATGTAAACTAACTAGCATGACTGTTAGTTTACCAACAGTCAGTTTACCAACAGACAGTTAGTTTACCAAAAATTTATGGGTACTGAAATCTGAACTCCACGTAATTTTCACATGATTTATGTATTTTTTATTTATATATGACAGCAGAATGCATTACAATTCTTACTACACATATAGAGCACAATTTCTTATATCTCTGGTTGTATGCATAGTATATTCACACCAATTCGTGTCTTCCATACATGTATTTTGGATAGTAATGATCATCACATTTCATCATCATTAATTACCCCATGCCCCCTCCCTTTCCCTCCAACCCCTCTACCCTATCTAGAGTTCATCTATTCCTCCCATGCTCCCGCTCCCCACATGATTTATTTCAACCTTTAAAATGTCACATTTTCAGCTAAGAGGCTGTACACAAGTAGGCAGCAGGACAGATCTGATCTGCAGGCCGTTAATCCATGGGCCTCTGCCATAAGCCATTTCCCTGTCCTTGACATTCTACTCTCCCTTAATTCCTAACATTTCTAGAGTCTTTAATATTCTTCTTAGTGCTTCACATTAATTACCTAATTTCATCCTCAGACCACTCTAGGAAATACATATTTATGCTATTATTCCAGTTTTATATGAGGAAACAGGTGCAGAGAAATTAAGCAGTTAATTCAAATCCACCCAGCTGGTAAGAGGTTCAAACCCAGAGATCTGATTCCAGAGCCGGGATCAGGGAAAATAGACTCGGTTGTGCTGGGGTAGAAAATAAAACTGAAAATCTGAGTGCTTTCCTTCCAGAGGTCTTTTTATATCACTGTCCAAAAGGATCATGGATGGGGAGAAGAGCTTGAGCGTGATGCACCTGCTCTTAACTGCACATGAGCTCGCCTCATGGTCAGTGGCAGCCCTAGTTGCTGGCTCTACGACCATGCAAAGAGCCTGGAAAATGGAGCTTCCTAATGTGCCAGGGAGAGAGAGATGGGTTTAGTGTACACCAAGTCAGCCTTCACTGCAAATCTCTGTTCTTCAGCACAGGCTGCAGCACCTCCTTGCAAGCGCTCTCCCTCTCTCCTACTTCTCTCTTCATTCATTCCTGGCTTCCTTGCTGAACTCTCCATTGGTCCATTATTCAAATGTGGGCGTTCCCCAACATCCTGGTAGTGGCCCCTTCTTTTCTCACTGCACACATTCTCCTTTGAGAAGCTCAGTAAAAACCATGGTCCCGGCTTCACGTGGAATTCCTTGGTAAGCTCCTGTCATGTCTACCTACTACATAGCACTGGTGAGATTTCCCATGTGCATTTCAAACTTACACGTCCAAAACTGAGCTCACCATCTTCCCCCACAAAATCTGTTCTTCCTTCTGTTTTCTCTATTTCAGTAAATGATACCACCATCCCCCCAGCTGCCCAAGCCAGAAACAAGGGTATTTTCCTAGCCTCTCTCTTTCCCTGTGTCCGTTTGGTCAGTTCCGTGCAGGAATTGCTCCAACCCTCTCCAATTCCACTACCCCTTCCTTGGTTGACACCCTCAGCCTTCCTCCCTAGGACGACAGGGACAACCTTCTAACCAGTCTCCCTGCCCCAGTCTTGTGAAAGCAGATTCAGTCATGGCATTCCACTACTTAAAACCCTTCTTGGCTCCTTGATTTCAGAATTCAATCAGAACCTCTAAGCATAATACATGAAAATGTACAAAGCAGTATCTGACCCCTACATTCCTCTCCCACCACATCCTTGCAACACCAAAGCATTTGCAGTTCCTTGAAGTAGGGTGTGCTTTGCAGTCCCTTCCCTTTTTAGGGAAGCTTCCCCAGCTCCATCATCTCTATCCCAGATAGTCCCTATTTGTGCACCATCAGGACCAAGTTTCCTTTCAGAAAGCCCTTCTCTTGCTATGTGTTCCGTTCACCTTCTTCAGGGGGCATGGCACCTGAGGTTGTGATATTTTAATGCAGGACATAGACTAGACTCTGCTCTGTGTATCATCAATGCCTGCCACATGGCTGGGAATATGGCGTACGCTCAATACATGTCCACTTTTTTGAAAGCCAAGAAATGAATTCTAGTTCTTTACTTCACTTGTGATTTGGGGGGGGGGTAACTTACTGAGTCTCTTTTGCATCTCTCCTAGAAAGTCATGACTGTCATCTCACTTAGAAGAACTGCTGTGCAAGGAAGGGAGCACACTAGCTTGTGTAGAACAACTGTTTGAAAATATAACTCCCTCCCTGCCTTCCCCCAGCTCTGACTCAAACAGAACTTTTCAGGCCCCAGGTATCTCCTAGAGATAACCAAGGCCCTCACTTCTTCAGCTAAGTGGATACTAATTGTCTGAGCACTTTCACTTTTTGGACCCAGATGCAAGGAGCTTAGAAGTTGCCACTTTGTCCTAAGAACAAGTAAAAAGCTGAACATGCTGAAAAATCAACCCTGCTTATATCCTTCAGAGAAGTAAGGTTGTAGGCCAAACATATGACACTGACCCTAAAGAGACGGAGAGGCACATCACAACTTAGCTGGAGAGACAGAAACCCACCAACAGAAACTTCATGGGAACCAGTGCTAGGGTAGGAAGAAATGAATAATTACAAGTGCTAGAGGCACAGTGTGAACGAATCCAAGAGCTTAAAAACCCCACAGGGTCCCAGTCTTGGAAGCCCCCACACCTTTGTGAGAGTCACCTCCAGGAGCTCCATCAGGTGGTCGCAGTGAACATCAGAAAAAAAATTCCTGTCAATCTCCTGGCAGAAGGAGAAGAAAAAAAAAATCGGAAATATGCCTGAGCATTCTATTCTTCTTAACAAATCCTACTGTCCAAAGAAATTATTTTACCAGAGCCCAACCTACCTGGAGAAACAGAAATCCCCAGAGGGATTTTAAAAACAAGAATCACTGATGAAGTTCACAGTCCAGGTGCACAGGCTCACCAGAAAACTAAGACCAAGTGATAGGCCTATAGAATGTCCCTCCCCTCCCCTACTTTACAAGTACATTACAAAATGCTATTTACTACAATTTCTTTTACCCAGTACCTCGTATCCATCTATCAATTGAAAATTATAAGGCATACCAAAAGGCAAACAACACAGTTTGAATAGACGGACCAAACATCAGAACCAGAGTCATATATGGCTGGAATGTGAGATTCTCGAACCAGGAATTTTTTTTAAACTTATAATTAATATGCTAAAGGCTTTAATGAAAAAGAAAGTAAAGGACAACATGCTGGATAATGTAAGCAGAGAGATGGGAATTATAAGAAAGAATCAGAAAGAAGTGCTAGAGATTTAAAAAACACTGGATTA